AGATATGGCTTGTTTCAGCTTGGTCAGGGTGATACTTTTCAACAAAACTTTGCAACTCATTCCACTTTGAACATATGTCCTTGATCACCGAAGAAGGCACCTCCTTCACTCTCTTTTCCTCCTCCTCTGAAGCAAGTTCCTCAGCTGTGGTCTGATGCTGTTCCAGTTGAAGCTCTTGCAGTTCGTCAGTGGTTAGCTCTTCCCTGTGGTCCTCCACCAACTCTTCCACATCCTCGTCACTCACCTCCAACCCCATGGACTTGCCCAATGCCACAACACCTTCCACAACAGGCAGAGGGTCGGCAGGGTCAGGGTCTGCCTCAAACCCTTCAAAATCCCTCTGGATCGTGCTCTTCACTTTCTTTACCAAAGGGTTTGCACTAGCTTTCCTTGGACTCATGGTGACTTATTTAGCAGTTGCAATCACAAAAAACAATGGATTATTATGTATGAACCTGTGGGGTGATGGTCACGTGTTGGTAAACATTGGCACACTGAGCATGAATGGCGTGGGAGACTGGCTTTGTGTGCGCGGTGATGGGCGGACGGGTACCGGATGGCCGTCGAATCACGAGTCTAATCACGAAACTCAAGGCCAAATTTTGCCGAAAAAACTTGCCAAAAGTCGAATTTCACGAAAGTCAATGCTGCCGAAATTCGGGGGTCCACTGTACTTGCAACATCTGCCACATTACTCTCCTATCCACTCTGTCATATGCCTTTTCTAAATCCATAAATGCAATAAAAACTTCCCTACCTTTATCTAAATACTGTTCACATATATGCTTCAATGTAAACACTTGATCTACACATCCCCTACCCACTCTGAAACCTCCTTGCTCATCCGCAATCCTACATTCTGTCTTACCTCTAATTCTTTCAATTATAACCCTACTGTACACTTTTCCTGGTATACTCAGTAAACTTATTCCTCTATAATTTTTACAATCTCCCTAGGTACCTTCCCCTCTTTCATACATTTATTAAACAAAAATACCAACCACTCCAACACTATATCCCCCCCTTCTTTTAACATTTCTGTCATGATCCTGTCAGTTCCAGCTGCTTTACGCCCTTTCATTCTACATAATGCCTCACGCACCTCCTCCACACTCGCATCCTGTTCTTCTTTACTCCTAAAAGATGGTATCCCTCCTTGGCCAGTGCATGAAATTACCGCTTCCCTTTCTTCGTCGACATTTAAAAGTTCCTCAAAATATTCTCGCCATCTACCCAAAACCTCCATCTCCCCATCTACTAACTCCCCTACTCTGTTTTTAACTGACAAATCCATACTTTCCCTAGGCTTTCTTAACTTGTTTAGCTCGATCCAAAGTTTTTTCTTATTTTCATTAAAATTTCTTGACTGCCTCTCCCACTCTATCATCCACTCTCCTTTTGCACTCTCTCACCACTCTCTCTACCTTTCTTTTACTCTCCATATACTCTACTCTTCTTATAACACTTCTGCTTTGTAAATACCTCTCATAAGCTAACTTTTTCTCTTTTATCACACCCTTTACTCCATCATTCCACCAATCACTCCTCATTCCTCCTGCACCCACCCTCCTATAACCACAAACTTCTGCCCCACATTCTAATACTGCATTTTTAAAACTATTCCAACCCTCTTCAATTCCCCCACTAATCATACTTGCACCAGCCCACCTTTCTGCCAATAGTTGTTTATATCTCACCCGAACTTCCTCCACCCTTAGTTTATACACTTTCACCTCCCTCTTGCTTGTTGTTGCCATTTTCCTCTTTTCCCATCTACCTCTTACTCTAACTGTAGCTACAACTAAATAATGATTCGATATATCAGTTGCCCCTCTATAAACGTGTACATCCTGGAGCCTACCCATCAACCTTTTATCCACCAATACATAATCTAACAAACTATTTTCATTACGTGCTATATCATACCTTGTATATTTATTTATCCTCTTCTTCATAAAATATAGTAGTAGGTTGGTAGACAGCAACCACCCAGGGGGGTACTACCATCCTACCAAGTGAGTGTGAAACGAAAGCCTGTAATTGTTTTACATGATGGTAGAATTGCTGGTGTCTTTTGTCTGTCTCATAAATATGCAAGATTACAGGTACGTCTTGCTATTTCTACTTACACTTAGGTCACACTACACATACATGTACATGTTTATTTATACACACTCATCTAAGTTTTCTTTGATTTTATCTTAATAGTTCTTGGTCTTATTACTATTCCTTTTATGTCCCTGGGGAAGTGGAATAAGAATCTTTCCTCCGTAAGCCATGCGTGTTGTAAAAGTCTACTAAAATACCGGGAACAATGGGCTAGTAACCCTTTTTCCTGTAATAATTACTAAAAAGAATAAGAAGAAAATTGTCAAAGTGGAAGTTATGCAAATGATAAGAAAGAGATGATTGTGGATCTTATGAATGAGAATAAGCTGGACGTCCTGGCTTTAAGTGAAACAAAGCTGAAGGGGGTGGGAGTTTCAGTGGAGAGGAATAAATGGGATTAGGTCAGGGGTTTCAAATAGAGTTAGAGCTAAAGGAGTAGCAATAATGTTGAAGGATAAGTTATGGCAGGAAAAGAGGGACTACAAATGTATTAACTCAAGGATTATGTGGAGTAAAATAAAGGTTGGATGTGAAAAGTGGGTTATAGTAAGCGTATATGCACCTGGAGAAGAGAGAAGTGTAGAGGAGAGAGAGATTTTGGGAAATGTTGAGTGAATGCGTGGGGAGTTTTGAACCAAGTGTGAGAGTAATGGTGGTTGGTAATTTCAATGCTAAAGTGGACAAAAAATGTTGTGTAGGGAGTAGTAAGTAAATCTGGAATGCCAGGGGTAAATGAAAATGGGGAGCCTTTAATTGAGCTATGTGTAGAAAGAGGTTTGGTAATAAGTAATAAAATCGCAAATAAACTATAAAAAACATACGAAAAAACACTGCAAAATAGCTGTTTTAATCAAAAATTGTGGTCTCATTTTTTCTCTCATTATGCACTATGTGCTGCAGGATTTGTTTTATGTGGTGCGCACATACCACATAGATGTATTCTCTCATATCAAGGCCAAAATTTACTGCTCACAGCTTATCAGAGTGAGCTGAGCTCATGACGTAGATCTACTGTTTGGACCCTCACCGTAAAGCCGTAGATCTACAGCACGGACCCTCAAGGGGTTAACAAAAAAGTAAATTAGTTGGTTGCATCAACAACTTTGGCCAAACTGAAACCTGAGTCAGCAGGTGAATGGAATGTCTCCATCTCCCCTCAAAATACTACTGCTATGAGGTTAACATAATAGGTCAACCCTTGCAACACACTTACCCATACATGTTCCCTCATTTTATTAGCCAAATAAACAACTCTGCCTTACCTAGCAAGGTGTGGGGAGTCTCTAGAATATGCAATGTGTTTAGGCAGTCAGCCAGTGTTACAACAGCTTGTACATACTATACATCAATTTACAATTTTCTCATTTAAACATTTAGGGTACTCTTATTTTCAATCACCAGTATATTTAACAATTGCAAAAATACAGCTGGAGTAGATACATCACTGTTAGAGGCACAGTGACTGGAAAGTGGAATGACTTCAGTGAAGAAGGGGTGGAGGCAGACTCCATATATAGTTTTAAGAATAGGTACAACAGGGCCCACAAGGCTAGTAATATGTGAACCTGGCAAGCAGCAACTTGAGGAGCAGGACCAAAAGCTAAGACTCAACCCCTGAAACTACATAGAGGCAAATACATATAGGTAAGGAATGTGCACTTACAGTGTAATTACAATAATGCAAGAGGTTATTACCAATGGGGGTTAATAATTTGAACGAAGTCAATCTTCTTCTAAACTTTGGAATCCTGACATTTATGTGCTGAAGGTTCTCTTTAAACCTTTAGTACAGGGGTTTTAGATAAATAATGATTTCATAATTTATATAAATTTTGGAAACATTAGTTAGGTAAAAATATGCTGTCTAGTGGACATGACCTTTTACTCGCTTACCAAGAATGGAGGGAGTCTGGGGGGGGGGGGGGGGCGGCACTGCTCTTATACTGGTCAGCAGACAGAGAAAATACATGAATGACACTAACCCAAGTTTCACACATTATACTTCTCTCTTAAGATTTAACCCTTAAACTGTCCAAATGTAGATCTACGTTCATGTGTGTAGCGCTCCAAACGTAGATCTACATTTTTTTACATGCTTTCCAATGGAGAAAATAAAGGTCAGAGCACTACGCACGTGAACGTGGATCTACTTTTGGACAGTTTAAGGGTTAAGGCATGTATTACCTGTCTCACTTTGTCATTTTGGATGCACTTTTCATTCATGCTTACATGAAATCACACTTTGAGACAGTGCCTCGAAAGAGGACTTACTGTAGTGTAGTCAACCCCTATGATGTATACAGCCAGACCATACATTGTACCCAGTCAGTCATATTTCATGAAGTAAGCCACTTGTCTCCATATATCTCCTCAACTCACATTTTCTTCACCACCTCTGCCTCGCTCACTTAGAAGTTGAATGTAGATAAAAAAAAATACTTATTCTATACACTTTACAATTATATTAATTTTCTGTACTTTATTTCTCTCTCTCTCTCATTTGTAATAAGACTAACACAAAGTATGCGGTACTCCATAGGCAGTTCAAAGAATCTAATCGATGAGAAGAAATTTCATTTTCTTATCAAAAATCAGGTTACCTTGAAAAATGCCAAATTCCTGGGCAAAAGGGAGCCAGATTTGATTTTTTTGTATGTATACTGTAATACTAGAGCTACAATACATCCATTATACACTTCCAGTAACTCTAATGTTAACCACTATGAAAATAACAGATGCAAACCTCCAGGGTTAGTATGCTTTACTTTATCCAACCACTAGCACTGTAATTATTTATATTAATACCGAGGATGCTGCAAAATCTCTACTCCATACAAGCAACAAACCAAGGATGCAAATTAAAAAATTATGGTAGTATTATTAAAACTTACGATTCATTAAGAGGTCCTGGGTATGGTTCAGTCTTTCGGTACAGAGATGACAAATGAACAGACAAAATCAGAGCTGGAAGGAAGAAGAAGAAGACCCAGCCCACACTTGCCCAGAAGCCATTCTGTAAAAGTATAATAAATGTACATATAAATTTTTCATTAATATATTGGTAAAAATTACATTGGCAAAAATTTAAACAAGGGAGTCATTACTGGAGTGAAGTACTATCATACTAGTTAAGTGAACATTTCTCATGTCAAAATACACTGCAGTTGTCTTTGGGAAAAAAAATGAGGCACAATTAATGAAAATTTGTTGCCTATCTTCTGTCCAGAATATATTCATACTAATAGTTTTGAATTAATACTATATTTGTCAAATTTTAACCCTTTGACTGTCACGGCCGTATATATACATCTTACAAGGTACCGTGTTTGACGTATATATACTCAAATTCTAGCGACTTCAAATCAAGCAGGAGAAAGCAGGTAGGCCCACATGTGAGAGAATGGGTCTGTGTGGTCAGTGTGCACCATATAAAAAAAATCCTGCAGCACGCAGTGCATAATGAGAAAAAAAAAACTCCGACCGTTTTTTTTTTAATTAAAATGCAGACTTTGTGGTCTATTTTTGTATAGTATTTATGGTTGTATTCTCGTTTTCTTGGTCTCATTTGATAGAATGGAAAACATATTATAGAAATAGAGGTGATTTTGATTGATTTTACTATAAAAAGAACCTAGAAATGGAGCTCAAAGTAGGGGAAATGTTTGATTTTTGCCAATGTTCAAAAGTAAATAAATGATGCCATTGTCCAATAAATGTCCAACTAGCCATTCTAATATGCAGTCATGAATGGGTTGATGTTATTTATACAATTATTACAGTATTGCAGTAGTCTGCATAATAGTAAGTCTTCTATTTTTTGTTTGAATAAAAATTCAAAATAGAAAGCAAGAGTAATATCAGAGGGGCCTGGAGACATGACTGATGAGCAAAGAAAATGTTATTTTAGAGCCAGGAATGTCTGCATTGTTCATTCTGGACCTTATTTTGAAATTGTCATATTTTTTAGTTTTCGTGAAATTGGCCAAATTGCAAATTTCTGACCACATTATTAGGTAGTTGAAATCGGTAAATGGGCAGTTTCTTGTACTCAATCGATAGAAAAAATGGAGTTCTAAAGAAATAGCTATGAGTTTGGGCGACTGGAACAATGGAATTAGCCGAAAATAGGGCTCAAAGTGGGCGAAATCGCCGATTTGTAAACAGCGCCGCGGTCGCTAACTTCACGAGAGCATAATTCCGTCAGTTTTCCATCAAATTTCGTTTTTTTGGTGTCATTACAATCGGGAAAAGATTCTCTATCATTTCATAAGAAAAAATAATTTTTTTTCTTTTTTTTAAATTTTGCGACACCAGGAGACACCTCAGGATTGGGGGTTGCGACAGTCAAAGGGTTAATGCTTTTCAAAAAATAATAACCAACATGTGCCATATTGCATATACAGTCAAGATTTAAATCTATATACAGTCAATTTTTAAATCTTTATGTCTGTGCTCTACCAAGATAATAGGTTAGTAAACAGCAACCACCCAGGAAGGTAATTGTTTTACATGATGGTAGATGTGCTGGTGTCTTTTTTCAGTCTCATAAACATGCAAGATTTCAGGTACGTCTTGCTACTTCTACTTACACTTAGGTCACTATACATGCATATACACACATATATACACACACCCCTCTGGATTTTCTTCTATTTTCTTACTAGTTCTTGTTTTTGTTTATTTCCTCTTATCTTCATGGGGAAGTGGACTTCCTCAGTAAGCCATGGGTGTCGTAAGAGGCAACTAAAATGCCGGGAGCAAGGGGCTAATAACCCTTTCTTCTATATACATTACTAAAATTAGAAAGAGAAACTTTTTTTTGCTTTTTTGGGGCCAACCTGCTTCAGTGGGATGCAGCCTGTTTGTTGAAAGAAGAAGTCTGTGCTCTATAGTATTGCCTTTTCAATGTATATAAAGAACACAATAATCTGAGCCCATGCATTGCAAGTGGGTGAATAAAAAAGGGAAATTTACCTCACCTAGAACACATGGGTTTAACCCTTTGACTGTTTCGGTCATATATGTACTTCTTACGAGCCAATGTGTTTGACGTGTATATACTCAAAAATTTTAGCGGCTTCAAATCAAGCAGGAGAAAGCTGGTAAGACCACATGTGAGAGAATGGGTCTGTGTTGTCAGTGTGCACCATATAAAAAAAAATCCTGCAGCACGCAGTGCATAATGAGAAAAAAAACTCCGACCATGTTTTTGGATTAAAAAGCCGAATTTCAGATGCATTTTTGTATAGTTTTTATGGTTATTTTCTTGTTTTCTTGGTCTCATTTGATAGAATGGAAAACATGTTATAGACATAGCAGTGATTTTGATTGGTTTTACTATGAAAAGAACCTTGAAATGGAGCTCAAAGTAGGGGAAATGTTTGATTTTTGCCTATGTTCAAAAGTAAACAAATGATGTCATTTTCCAATAAATGTCCAACTAGCCATTCTAATATGCAGTCATGAATGGGTTGATATTATTTATACAATTATTACAATATTGCAGCAGTCTGCATAACAGCAAATCTTCTATTTTTTGTTTGAATAAAAATTCAAAATAGAAAGCAAGAGTAATATCAGAGGGGTCTGGAGACATGACTGATGAACAAAGAAAATGTTATTTTAGAGCCAGGAATATCTTCATTGTTCATTCTGAACCCTATTTTGAAATTGGCATATTTTTTAATTTGCTTGAAACTGGCCAAATTGCCAATTTCTGACCACTTTATTGGGTAGTTGAAATTGGTAAATGGGCAGTTTCTTGTACTCAGTCGATAGAATAAATGGAGTTCTAAAAAATAGCTATGAGTTTGGTCAACTGGAACAAGGGAATTAGCCGAAAATAGGGCTCAAAGTGGGCAAAATCGCCGATTCATAATTATCGCTGAGGTTGCTAACTTTGTGAGAGCATAAGTTTTTCATCAAATTTCGTACTTTTGGTGTCATTACCATCGGGAAAAGATTCTCTATCATTTCATTAGATAAAATCATTTTTTTTTTTTTCAAAAATTTTGCGACACCAGGAGACACCTCAGGATTTGGGGTTGTGACAGTCAAAGGGTTAAATCATAAGAACATCTGATAAAGAAAGCAATGTCAAGATGATTGTAAATAGCAAAAGATCGCTAAAGAGCTATAAATAATTCAAGAACCCTATCAAAAGCTTGCATATAATGTATACAAATGAAGAAATTCTATATATGTACCCAGCAAATTTTTCAGTGTATAGAAGACTCAAATTAGAATATGCAGCTGTAATGTGGTGATCACATCTAAAGGAAACATACAGAAAGAATAAAAAAGTTAACCCTTTCACTGTTGAAGCCCCTGATCACAAATTTGCTCTTAATGTCGAATATAATGCATAATGTGTATATATCCACTCATTGTATGCAATACAATAACCACGCAAATACTGTTATCATTATATTGTTTACAAAACATGTTTACACTAACCCACACTGTCTTCCCCCACCACCCACGCTGTCTTCCCCACCAACCATACCATCTTCCCTACCACATGGAAATAAGTCACTTAGACTTTTTTGGGTTATCCTAGGTAATCTACACATATGCTGCTATGTATGATTTATTTATTTATTTATTTATTTAAAAATTTGAGCACACATACAGAGGTACAAAAAATACAGATAAGAGCAGCATGCCAAAGCCACTTATACTATGCATAGCATTACGGGCTGGCTTAAAATTAACTTAAGATGAACTAAGCAATGATGACATCAGTGATAAAACTTTAATGTAAACAGATTACTATAAAGCACAAGTGAGTATTACAAAGACAGGTCATATGGTTGTATGCATTGTTGTACATTCAGTAGAATGGAGTATTCTGTTAGGTAGTGTATTTAAAAAATAATAAAGTTAGATTGGGTTTTAGGTTTAACATTTATGTGATATAATTGTGAGAAACATTTAAGATATACAATTTATAAGGTTCAGTTTTTTCAGTATTTACTTGGTTTTGGGTGAGTAAGGATCTTTGAAAAGAGACTTGAATTTATAAACGGGTAGTGTTTCTTTTATATTTACAGGTAATGAGTTCCAGATTTTAGGGCCTTTATGTGCATTGATTTTTTGCATAGTGTGAGATGGACACGAGGAACATCAAAGGTGATCTGTCCCTTTGTGTTATGGTCATGGTTCTGTTGAGGTTGGCAAGGAGATGTTTGAGGGGAGGGTTATATCAGAGTTAAGTGTTCTATGTATGTAATAGGTGCAGTAATAAGTATGAATGTTTTGTATGGTGAATAGGTTTAGTGTATTGAATATTGGTGGAGTGTGCTGCCTATAGTGAGAATTTGTTATCATTCTAACTGCAGCCTTTTGTTGGGTAATTAGTGGTCTGAGATGGTTACTTGTTGTTGAGCCCCATGCACAAATTCCATAGGTGAGATAGGGGTAAAAAAGAGTGATATAGGGCCAGGGGGGGCTGACTGTGGAGCATAGTACCGTATCTTCGATAGTATGCCTACAGTCTTGGAAATTTTCTTAGAAATTTGTTGTATATGTATGAAATTTGAGTCTATTATCAAGGTGGATTCCTAGTTTTTTCCCCTTTGTTAGCTTTGTGATAGGTGACCCGTTTATCATTATGTTAAGAGGGACATCTGTAGCTCTGTTACCAAACTGAATGAAGTAGGTTTTGTCAATGTTTAGTGTAAGTTTGTTAGTCCTCATCCAGGTAGATATTTTCTGTAATTCGGTATTTACAGTATTGCTAGCGTGACTGGGCTCGGGTGGGAGAAGTCGTATGTAGTGTCATCTGCAAATAGTGTGGGTTTGAGTAATTGCGAAGCTTTTGGGTAGGGTCTTTTATGTATAGGAGAAAAGAGAAGAGGGCCAAGGACACTTCCCTGTGGGACACCAACTGTAATTGGTTGTGCAGAGAGTTTGCCCCATTTGCATACACATATTGGCTTCTGTTGCTGAGGTATGACTTGGGTGTTGGGGGAGTGCCCTCTTATACCATAGTGTGACAATTTTACGTGGAGC